CATAAAAAGAAAACAAATGAGACAAAACAGAAGCAGCACAGTCGTCAAGACTTAAACAAGATAGATAAAGACCAACATGAGACAACAAACTACCATAAAAACACAAAAAAGGCATCAGAGGCATAAAATAAGACAGAAATACCAAAATGAGACAGAACATGAATGTAAAAAGACTTAAATGAGACACAAAAAGAGCAAAATAAGATGTAATCGGACACAAAACAATCAAACGAGGCACTAAAAGACTAAAATAAGACGCAAAACAACCAATATGAGACGCACAAACTTTTTGAATTGTCCGACTATACAAACAATTTAGGGAATTTTAACTTTTAAAAAAATTAATTCTCCAGGTTTTCAATTGTTTTTGAAGCAGCTGAAACCCTGTGAAGGTGCACACATTAGACTATAACAATTAAATCATGATAGTTGTGGGGAATAAAGAGTTTATTGAAAGCCTGAGGACGACCAGTACAGCCCAAAAACCACAACAAAACCAAAAGCTGACGAGAAGTCCTGCACACAACACGTTTGCAATGACGAACAGTTCTTGAACCCAACAATCCTATCTGTTAGTGGCCAACTCACCCAAACTGGAAGAGGCTCGATCCAACTTGATCCGATCAGTCGTGACGCCCAAAATCACAAATACAACGCAGCAACGCAGCAGGACCTGTGTAGAAAACAGACAACATGTTAGCGTCGACTGTGACCACTGAGGCAGTAAAACACGTTTAAATCCAGTTTCCCAACAGTCTGGAGAATGTCGCCGGATGGGTCATTAAATTCCAACTTCACTGTTTCTTCAGGTGTTTGCACAAACCTGCTATTTATTGCTTAATAACATCACAGCACCCTGAAGAACTGCTACAACTCCACCGTTTATTAGAGCCACAAACAGCATAAACAGAGAAAACAGCCGCCATGGTTCGTGAATGCATCATGAAAAGTCAAAATCGTGATCGTGAATTGGTAAAAAAATAGCTAAAAAAAACCAAACCCTTTCCACGAACCGGATTCTGTAAAAGACAAAAAATTTTGCGCTCCTCTGCGCAACCGTGAAGCCACTAACGACTCAGCTGTGACCAACAACCACGACGTAAAAATTCAGGAGATTTTTAGGTTGAACTGCAGGTTGTGTATCCAACATTAGACCAATATGGAAACTAATTAAACCTGTAAGTAGCAAAGTCACTATTTTTAATTTTTTTGAAAACAAATGATCAACTTTCCTATTTTTTTTTTATTTTTATGGCATTTTAAAGGTGTCATATTGTACAGTTCTCTTGACTTTGTGCCGTTTCCACAGAGGTGCAGGACTTTATATTGCAGGGACATATCTATATATATATATATGTATTAGGAATATGACAGGAGCAAAAAAAAAAAACCCCAGACACTGCTTGAGGGTCAGAGGATTAATGGATTAAACTGAAGAGAGCACTTGTAGCATGAAATGTCTGAGCATAAATTACTGAGTTTATGTGTGAGCATGAAAATGTTTGACATAAAACACACGCTTTTTGGTAATTAATTGTGTGTGTGGGGCATATATTCAGCGTGAACATATTTCCCAACGCCTTTGAAAAACCTTTGATTTACACATGATGTACTAAGAGGCAATAAAACTAGAAGGAGGGGGGGGGTTAATTGTTAACATTTTGATTAGAGACTGAAAAAAAAGCATAAATTTAAACCTGCTGCAAAGTGCAAACAACCAAACAAAATCAAATGGAGGAAACTAAGAGAAGAATCGTTCACCGGCTACCTGTGAAAGCCATTTCTTACATTAATACGTCCCCGGCCATTCGCTCACCTGATCGCTCTTATATTATTCAACAGCCACTTTAACCTTCATGCATTAATGTCCTCACAGCTATAAGTCGTATTTAAATGGATTATTTTTCTCTTCCCATTAGCAGCGATCGCGCCGAGGCCCAGCTACACCTAAAGCCTCGCAGCTGCTTTACATTTACAGGATTTAAACAAACAGGAATATCATTCTGACTGACATGAACGGTATCCACATCACTGGGAAGTCATTTTGTGCCAATTTTGGGTCATTTTGAATGTCGCTGTGGTTGTTTTGGTGCTTTTTTGGTTAGTTTGGGTCCGTTTGTAGTCATTTGGATTCCCTTCGAGTGCTGCATTACTTTTGAGCCATTTTGTGTCCCTCTGGCATACTTTTGTGGTTAGTTGCCATCTCTTTGCAGTTTTTGTTGTCATTTTGCATTCATCTGTAGCCATTTTACACCCTCTGTAGTCACTTTGCATGCTTTTGTGGCATCATTTTGAATCCCACTGTGGTCATTTGTGTCCTTTTGTAGTCATTTTGCATCTCATTATAGTCATTCTGTGTCATACTGTAGTCATTTTGCATGCTTTTGTGGCACCATTTTGCCTCCCACTGTGGTCATTTTGTATCCTTTTGTTGTCATTTTGCATCACTTTGTGTCCTGCTGTAGTCATTTTGCATAATTTTGTTTAAGTTTTGCATCCCTTTGTTTTCAGTTTGTGTATACTGTAGTAATGTTGGATCACTTTTTAATCAATTGTTGTCATTTTGCATCCCTCTCTAGCCACTTTGCATGCTTTTGTGGCACCACTTTTGCCTCCCATTGCCATCATTATGTATCCTTTTGTCGCCATTTTGCATCCCATTGTAGCAACTTTGTGTCCTACTCTCGTCATTTTGCATTATTTTGTAGTCATTTTGCTTCCATTTGTAGTCATGCTGCATTCATTGATATTCATTTGCTCTCATTTTGTGTCCATTTGCTTTTTTTGCAACCCTTTGTAGTCATTTTGTTTCGATTTGTTGTCATCATGCATCCCATTTTAGCCCATTTGTGTCCTTTTGTAGTCATTTTGTACTGATTTTCTGGTCCTTTTGCATGCCTTTGAGGCTACTTGGGTCATTATGGGATAACTTTGCAGCTCTCCTGCATCGCTTTAACGTCCCGCTGTAGTCATTTTGTTCCAATTTGAAGTCATTTTGTGCCCCTTTGTACACATTTTGCATCCCTTTGAGTCCTTTTAGAGTCGTTTTGTATCCCTTGCTTTAAAGTCATCCAGGGTACGAGTCATATTTAAATGAATTATTTTCCGTTTGCACCGACGTTCCTCCCATTAGCCGCGATCACGTCGAAGCCCAGCTACACCTACAGCCCTAACAGCCACTTCCCATTTGATGCAATCAAGATCTAAAATGCCAATTAAACTGGGGAAATATCATTCTGAACCACATGAAAGGAACTCGAGGAGGTTCAAGTGCCCCAACAAAGCTGTAGGTTGATGAAGTGTGTGCTGTTGCCTGGCAATAAGAAGCAGACCAACAGCATCACGTTTAAACGTAACGGAGCAGCACTCCGTCGATGGCAGCTCGGTAATCCATACGGCGCAAACAGTCCAGGCTTTGACGCAGGAATCAACACAGACGGTAAACAATTAGCCAACCAGACACTAAACTAACATGATTAATGTGGCCAGAATGTGGAGTAACGGCTCCATCCGAGGGTCCATCAGCTGTCAAACAGCAGCCAGGATCTAAGTGGCAGGTTGAGGTTACAAACACGTGCTCGAGGGTTTTCTGTTTGGCGTCAACAGGTTAGAAACATGTGATGTGCTCTCCAGCTCCTTTTCCTGTCTCTTCTCTGTGAAAATTCAAAATGTGTCAGTTGGGATGGAAGTTATATCGCTGAGGAGCAGCTTTAATTCAAATAAAGGCATGAATCACAGTGTTTATGCTCCAGCAGCGAGCCCTTTAAATGCTGTGGGCGTATTAAGGCTTCGCTGCAGTGACAGTGTCGGGTTTTTAAATGATGTTTGCATCAATATAACTAACAGATTTCCTAAAACAAACTTGTTATTTGTCTCTCTTGTAGTTATTTTACATCTTGTCACAGATATTTTGTGCGTCTGTCCTTGCGTTGCGTTGCTTCTCCTTGTAGTCATTTTTGCATCCCTTTGTCGCTGTATTCTGTCAATTTGTAGTCATTTTGCGCGCCTTGCTACTTGTATTGGTGCTTTTGAGGTCTCTTTGCATCTCCTTGTAGACATTTTGCATCCCTTTATAGTCATTTTGTGTCAATTTGTAGGTATTCCGTATCCTGTTGTAGTAATTTTCTGTCCCAGTGTAGTCACTTTGCATCTGTTTGAAGTCATTTTGCGTCCATTTGTGGTCATTTTGCATCCCGTTCTAGTTGTATTCTGTCAATTTGTAGTAATTTTGCACGCCTTTCTACTTGTTTTGGTCCCTGTGAGGTCTCTTTGCATCTCTTTATAGACATTTTGGATCCCTTTATACTCATTTTGCGTCCCTTTGTAGTGATTTTGCATCCTGTTGTGGTTGTTTTTATCCTTGAGTGGTAACTTTGCATCACTCTCTAGTCATTTTGAGGTTAGTTGTGAACATTTTGCATTCCTTTGGACTTGTTTTGGTCCTCGTGAGGTTTCTTTGCAGCTCCTTGTAAACATTTTGGATCCCTTTCTAGTCATTTTGTGTCAATTTGCAGGTATTCCGTATCCAGTTGCAGTAATTTTCTGTCCCCGTGTAGTCACTTTGCATCTGTTTGAAGTCATTTTGTGTCCATTTGTGGTCATTCTGCATCCCCTTTGGACTTGTTTTGGTCCTTTTGAGGTTTCTTTGCGACTCCTTGTAGTCATTTTGCATCCCTTTATAGTCATTTTTGCATCCTGTACTGATTTTGCATCCCATTGGAATTAGTTTTGTCCATTGATGGTGACTTTTATTCCTTTTGTAGTCAGTTTGCATTTGTTCATAGTAACTTTTTCCTCCGTCTTGGTCTTGATCTCCTCGCAGTCACTTCGCATCCTTTCAGCATCATTTTGTTTATTCCATGAAACCAACAACCAACAAATAACGTCCAAATCTTTAACATTCAGGCAACATTTTTGGCATCGACCACCTGGAAACAGACTTTGATGCGTAAAATCGATGGAGTTCCTCTTAAAGTCAGATAGCTTGGAAGTAGCTTGTAACTCCTACAACTGCTTTTACAACGTAATGAGTTAATTGTTGTTGTTTCGACATGTAGGCAGACTTATTTTTGTGGTTTGGGCAAACACAAGGTGGGAGTCTTTGTGCTCTAGTCAGCGGTGGAGGACTTCTTCAGGGTTGTTCAACAGTATATCACTGCATGAATGAATGGATTGGTTTTTCTCCTCCTCTAATTATCAATGAAGAATCGATGACTTCGCGCCACAGGCTGCACCATAATTATCAATCAATAGTGCTGCTCAGCAGTAAGTGGGCTGCAGATATTTCAGAGTAAACCCTCCTTCACTCGTCTCCGTGTGCTCGAAGATATTTCGCAGAAAGCGCCGGTTTCTCCGTCCTCCTTTTCCTTAATAATTCCGTCTTTCATGCAAGTTGACACACTTCTTTATTATAATCCTGAATCCACAGAGTATAAACCAATTAAGAACATTTAATCCTTCTATTTAAAGTGCAAATTGAAATCTTAAAAACAAGGCGGCAGCGGCGGAGCAGATAGCAGAAACCATTAAGTAGCAGCTGACAGACGTTTGAAACATTAAAACAAACACGAAATGCCTCCAAGACACGGCGCGGAAGCAATTTCAAGATAAAAGCTCGTAAACCAGAGCGGAGAAAGGAGATCTCCGAGTGCCGGGCCACCTGCTAATACAGTT